AAAAAGAGTACTATACCCTTGAGCGTGAAATATCGATTGCTTGTTGAACCCTGTGAATTGCGTGAAAGTATTATTCCCTCAATTATGGAGTCAAAAAATTTTAGAAAACGTTCTTGGTCGAACAAAATGTGAATGAAAGATTCCAGTGTTAAGCAATAGTGATAATTCTTGATCTCTCTCAATATCTCTCTATAATTCGAAAATAACAAATGTAAATCGTTTGATGTATTCATCTTTTTGAATCATATACTACCTCCTCCTCCATTTTAAGAAAGAAACTTTTTGACTTTTTTTATGAAATTCACGTTAGGAAATGAAACTCAATTGTCTTGATTTATACTTGATACTAAGTCATTCTTTCTTTATACTCAACTTGTATGGAGTTATACTCAATATTTCATTTCAATTGGAATTTGCTTATTTACCATGTACGAGGATCCCCGCTACGCATCCATGGCTGAATGGTTAAAGCACCCAACTCATAATTGGCGAATTCGTAGGTTCAATTCCTACTGGATGCACACCAACGGGACCGTCCATCCAATAAGTCTATTGGAATTCGATCTGTATTAATGGAATCTCATCATCGTTACATAACATAACGAATTGGTGGACTATAGTCTTATCATAAATAGGAAAAGTAAGAACTAGCATGATTATTGAGACTCAAACTCAGAGAAAATAAAATCGATTTATGGATGGAATCAAATAGGCAGGCAGTATTGACAGAAAAAAGGATTCGGTTATTGAAGAAAAAGCAATATACTTTGAATGTCGAATCAGGATTCACTAGGACAGAAAAAAAAGCATTGGGTCGAACGCTTCTTTGGTGTCAAGGTAATAGCTATGAATAGTCATCGACTCCCGGTAAGGAAGGGGTAGAATAATGAAACCTAGTATGGGACATCCAATACATTACAGATGTATGATCATTATGTCTCATTTGGGTTATTCTATTCTATCTCTTAGAAAGAAAGAAAAGAACTGAAATCAAAAGAATTAATAACATGCCGAAACATTTATACAAAACCGCTACCCTGAGCACACGCAGCGGAGCCGTAGACATTCAAGTGAAATCCAATACACGAAATAATTTGATCTATGGACAGCATCGTTGTGGTAAAGGCCGTAATGTCCGAGGAATCATTACCGTAAGGCATAGAGGGGGAGGTCATAAACGTCTATACCGTAAAATAGATTTTCGACGGAACCAAAAAAATATAAAAAATATATATGGTAAAATCGTAACCATAGAATATGACCCTAATCGAAATGCATATATTTGTCTCATACACTACGGGGATGGTGAGAAGGGATATATTTTATATCCCAGAGGGGCTCGAATTGGAGATACCATTATTTCTGGTACAGAAGTTCCTATAAAAATGGGAAATGCCCTACCTTTGAGTGCGGTTTGAACTATTTATTTACGGAATTGGAAGGAACCAATTAGGTTTACGACGAAACCTAGAAATCGATCACTGATCCAATGTGAATACCTCTACAGGATAGACCTCAACAGAAAACTGAAGAGTAACGGCAGCAAGTGATTGAGTTCAGTAATTCCTCATATAAAATTATTGACTCTAGAGATATAGTAATATGGAGAAAACAAAATTGTTTCAAGCACCGACAGAAGCGGGCGGCCCTTTTTTCAAATATAGGAGAATTTCAAATATAGGAGAATTTCAAATATAGGAGAATTTCAAATATAGGAGAACGGGTTATTCACATTTCATTTGATGGTCAGAGGCGAATTGAAAGTTAAGCGGTGGTAATTCTAAAGATTCCCCGGGGGAAAAATAGAGATGTCTCCTACGTTACTCATAATATTGGAAGTATCGACGTAATTTCATAGAGTCATTCGGTCTGAATGCTACATGAAGAACATAAGCCAGATGAAGGGACGGGAAGACCTAGGATGTAGAAGAGCATAACATGAGTGATTCGGCAGATTTAGATTCCTATATATCCACTCATGTAGTACTTTACTTCATTATAGGATATATAAGATCTATCTGTATAGATATCATCATCTACACCCAGAAAGCCGTATGCTTTGGAAGAAGCTTGTACAGTTTGGGAAGAGGTTTTGACTGATCAAAAAAAGAAGAATCTACTTCAACCCATATACCCTTAGGTACGGCCATACATAACATAGAAATCACACTTGGAAGGGGTGGACAATTAGCTAGAGCTGCAGGTACTGTAGCGAAACTGCTTGCAAAAGAGGGTAAATCGGCCACATTAAAATTACCTTCGGGAGAGGTTCGTTTAATATCCCAAAACTGCTCAGCAACAGTCGGACAAGTAGGAAATACTAGGGCAAAGCTTAAAAAGTTTGGTAAAGCCGGATCGAAATGTTGGTTAGGTAAGCGTCCTGTAGTAAGAGGAGGAGTTATGAACCCCGTAGACCATCCCCATGGGGGCGGTGAAGGGAAGGCCCCAATTGGTAAAAAAAAACCCGTAACCCCGTGGGGTTATCCTGCACTTGGAAAAAGAACTAGAAAAAGGAATAAATATAGTGACAATTCGATTCTTCGTCGCCGTAGTAAATAGGATAGAGAAAATCGAATTTCTTTCTTCGCCTTTTCAAAAAAAAAAAAAAAAAATGGGGGAAATTCACTATGCCACGTTTACCAAAAAAAAATTCTTTTGTAAGCATTAATTTAGTAAACAAAATAAAGAAGGTTAACACAAAGCGAGAAAAAGAAATAATAAAAACCTGGTCCCGAGCATCAACCATTATACCCATAATGGTTGGCCATACCATTGCTATCCATAATGGAAAGCAACATTTACCTATTTATATAACAGATGATATGGTGGGACAAAAATTGGGCGAATTTTCACTTACTCGGGATTTTGCCGAATATGAAAAATCAAAAAAAGATACAAAATCTCGCAAAAAAAAAAACTGAATCGAAATGTCGTCGATTATGTCGGTAATATCTTGAATAGAATAATATATATATATATATTATAGTAGTATATCATTTTATTATTTATATAATAAAAATTATCTTTATTATGGTATTCTTTTTTTTTATATATTATTTTATATATCTATTAGGAAAATCTTTTTATTGAACAAAAAAAAGATTCAAAAATGATGGGAAAAGGTATTCAAAAGAAATATGAAACTGACAAAAAAAAATAAAACTCAAACTAAATAAAGGCGGGTGAGGTAAAGCCTATTTATGATAAAAAAGAATCTACCAGAAGTATACGCACTACGTCAACATATACATATGTCTTCTCACAAAGCACGAAGAGTAATTGATCAGATTCGTGACCGTTCCTACGAAGAAACGCTTATGATACTTAAATTTATGCCCTATCAAGCAACTTATCCGATTTTGAAATTAGTTTCTTCTGCAGCAACAAATGCTATTCAGAGTCGAGGTTTTAATAAAGCCAATTTAGTGATTAGTCAAGCAAAAGTCAATCAGGGACCTACGGGGAAAAAAAGAAGACCTCGGGCTCGAGGACGAAATTGTTTAATAAAAAAACAAACCTGTCATATAACAATTGTATTAAAAGATACATCTTTACTACCAAGAGAAACAAGAGACTACCAAGAGAAACAAGAGGACTTTTCTATTAGGACATTTTAGACATAATAATATTAGTGGAGGAATATGGGACAAAAAACAAACGCACTTGGTTTCAGACTTGGGACAAACCAAAGCCATCATTCTATTTGGTTTGCAAAACCAAAAAAGTATTCTGAAGAGCTACAAGAAGATAAAAAAATACGAAATTGTATACAAAATTATGTGCAAAAAAATAAAAAAACCTTGGAGCTTGAGGGACTGACATGTATAGAGATTAAAAAAAGAATCGATGTCATTAAAGTCATAATCTATTTCGCATTTATAACCCGAAACATAAAAAAAAAAGAAGACCGACCTGAAATAATTCTTCGAAGAATTCAAAAATTCAAAATAAATCTAGACCAAGAACTTAATTGTATGAACCGAGAGACAAGTATTGATATTATCAAAATTGCAAAGCCTTTGGGGCATCCTAATATTCTTGCAGAATATATAGGGATTCAATTAAAGAATAGAGTTTCATTTGGCAAAGCCATGAGAGGTGCTATTCGACTCGCCAAACTGGGGCATAGCAAGGGAATTCTAAAAGTCAAAGGAATTATAATACAAATAAAAGGGCGCGTTGCCGGAAAAGACAGGAAACGTTTCGAATGGATTAGAGATGGTATAATTCCCCTACAAACCGCTCGAGCTAAAATAGATTATTGTGCCTATCCTATTACAACTTTTCGTGGGGTAATAGGTATAAAAATATGGATATTTATCGACAAGGTAGACAAGGTAGACAAGGTAGACACGGAAGACACGGAAGACAAGGTAGACACGGAAGACAAGGTAGACACGGAAGACACGGAAGACACGAAATAAAAAATAAACGCCTACTTGACTTGGATTAACGTTCTAAACTTTTCTAGACATAGATAGAACAAAAGATGGAAAAAGTAAAAAAAAAAAAAAAATAGCGAAAGATTTTTAATTTGATTTTTGATTAAAGAAGCAAGCAAGTAAGGTTCAATAAAAATTCGATTCATATCATAATTGAATAGACTTGCTATGCTTAGTGTGTGACTCGTAGGTTTTTTACTTAGGATCAGCATAAAAAAAAAAGGACTAACACAAACTATGAACTCAAAAGTTCCTAATTACTAACCAACCCATCGCTTCACATTATCTGTATGAAAAAAATCCGTCAAGATATGATATAGTATATATATCATTTTAGCAATTGAAAATTTTTTTTGCCTAAAACAATTAATATGATTTTAGGCGAAAAAAAAAATAGAAAATTATACAGAGAAATGAAAGGAAGGGCGAAAGAAAGAGAGAAAAACACACCACTGATATGGGATTCCAATATATATGTAAGGTCTATGACTATGAATCGTCTCATAATCATCAAAACTAATGTAATAAAGCATCAATACTACTTGATACTTGATATATAATTTCATGCAAATTTAACGAATCTATTTGTTTCTAGATTCTAGAACAAAAAAATCAAGAGCCTGAGGCCAATAACGACTAAAAAAATTGACTCGAGAACAAATAGAAGTAAAAGCTCCTTGGTACAATAAAGATCTAAGCATGAATCAAAAGGCGATGGGAACGATGGAACCTATAAATACATATGATTCTTATGATTCTATTGAAAATGAATCTTAATGATTTATTGAGCAGGATGGCGAAAGAAACCGGAAGACAATTTATTTATTCTAAGAGGTCATGAGTTAACGTATAAATCCTCCAAACCAGAATAAAATATTCAAAGAGTCAATATTCGCCCGCGAAGGTTTTTATGTTATTGGTTTTATATTGGAAATTCGAAGCCGCTCCCGGCTAGCTCGTAAAAGTTGAATAAGATTTTCTTTTCAAAAATGAGAATAAAATTTGACTAAGTATCATACAAAAAAAATGAATCGAAAAATGAAAGTTGGGAAATTTTTAAAAAATACAAAAATTGGGTAGAGTATTTATTAACGACGTGTTTTTTTGTTGAATCATTTTATTCGCGAGGAGCTGTATGAGAAGAAACTCTCATGTCCAGTTCTGTAGTAAAGACGGAATTCAGAACAAACCATCTATTATAACCCCAAAAAGACCAGATTCTGTAGACAACATAGAGGACGAATGAAAGGGATATCCTATCGAGGTAATAATATTTGTTTCGGAAAATATGCTCTTCAGGCACTTGAACCCGCTTGGATTACATCTAGACAAATAGAGGCAGGACGCCGGGCAATGACGCGAAATGCACGACGCGGAGGAAAAATATGGGTACGCATATTTCCGGACAAACCAGTTACTATAAGGACTACAGAAACACGCATGGGTTCTGGTAAAGGACATCCCAAGTATTGGGTTGCTGTTGTTAAACCAGGTAAAATACTTTATGAAATGGGAGGAGTAAAAGAAAAGATAGCGAGAAAAGCTATTGAAATAGCAGCATCAAAAATGCCTATCCGCACCCAATTCATTATTGCAATCTAGTAACCAAGGTAATAAATAGAGAAACAAAGTAATATAGAAGCAAAGGAAAAAGGCCTTTGAAATCAAACAAATCAAAAACGAGTGGGAAGTTTATTTATTTTTTTTTGAACAACTAATATTACTTACTTTTTTCCATTTGTATTAAATAAATATCAAGAGATCAAAAAATGATATGATCCAATCTCAAACCCTTTTAAAGGTAGCCGATAACAGCGGAGCCCGACAATTAATGTGTATTCGAATCATAGGGACTAGTACTCGACGCTATGCTAAGCTCGGTGACATTATTGTTGCTGTGATCAAGGAAGTAGGACCAAATTCTTCACTAGAAAGATCAGAAGTGGTCCGAGCTCTAATTGTACGTACTTGTAAAGAATTCAAACGGGACGACGGTGTACTAATGCGATTTGATGATAATGCTGCCGTTATTCTTGATCAAAAAGGAAATCCAAAAGGAACTAGAATTTTTGGCCCGATTCCTGAGGAATTAAGAGATTTCAATTTCACTAAAGTAGTTTCATTAGCATCTGAAGTATTGTAATTGTAAAAGAGAAACTAATCTAAGACTATTACTATTTCATATAGTAAGTCGTTTTTATATAGGAAATAGTTTTTCACGCATATACCTTGATTTATTCTATTCATTTTTATTTTTATTTATTTATATATATATATATAAATATATAAATATTAGTAGTATATAATAATATTAGTGGATCTTAGTATATATAATAATATTAGTGGATCTTAGTATATATTAGTATATATATATTTTTTAGATTCTATTGATTGTTACTAGTTACTCGAATCTAAACCGAGAATTCATAAATTAATAGAGTGAATTCATAACAAAACAAAAAGTATGTTGATTATATCAAAATTTGGGAACAATAATCTTTTTTTATCATGAGTATGGACACTATTGCTGACATAATAACTTCTATACAAAATGCTGACATGGCTAAAAAAGAAACTGTTAAAATAGCCTCTAATAAGATGATGGAAAACATTATTAAAATCCTTTTACAAGAGGATTTTATTGAAAATGTCAGGAAACACCGGGAAGGCAATAAAAATTTTTTAGTTTTAACCCTACGACATAGAAGGTGGAATAGAAAGGGATCCTATCGAACGAGTCTAAATATAAAACGGATCAGTCGACCGGGTTTACGAATCTATTCTAACTATCAAAAAATTCCTAGAATTTTAGACGGAATGGGAATTGTAATTCTTTCGACTTCTCGGGGTATAATGACAGATCGAGAAGCTCGACTAGAAAAAATCGGTGGAGAAATCTTATGTTGTATCTGGTAAGGTTTACGATATCCGAATTGGATCTGAATTCCTATTTTATTTGAAAAAAGAAAGAAAAAGAACAGGTTTATTGTCTATTGTTTCTAGAGAGTATTATACTGCTCCTACAGTATTGACAGTATAGAATACTTCAAGAAAATTTTAGACGGAATTGAAAACGAAAATGGATTTCGGAAGATTGAATTACCGAACTACCTTCCTTCCAATTGTATAGTTGAAATTTTTTTTGGTCATAAAGTTCTGGGGTTAGGTAGGCTATGGTTCGAAAATGATCGGCCGTCATTTTGTTTTATATGTACGAGAAGATAGAGCAAAAAAACAGCTAAGTCATTCGAATTTCAATTTGACTTAAGACGCCTAATTGATAGATTCCTCAACATTTCTCAACACAGATTGGAATGATTAGAGAGTTTTTCAACTTCAACATTCCAGTTATAGGATAGGAATACAATTCAAGATTTCAGCAAAAACAACTGTTCCTCAACTCAAATAGATACTCAAATAGATATATATATTTTATTTAAACTAAAGGAATACAAAATATGAAAAAACGGGCTTCAGTTCGTAAAATTTGTACAAAATGTCGACTTATACGTAGACGGGGTCGACTTGTAGTAATGTGCTCGAACCCCAAGCACAAACAGAAACAAGGATAATCTTTATAAACTCCGAAAGTTCGAAACTTTTAAACAAGGGTGCTCTTGCTATAAAGAATTTAATGTACAAATAAAAAAAGAGCTTTTTGACCTAAAATGGACAAATCCATAAATTCTTTTTATCAAAAATATGCCAAAACCCTACCGCTTCCGCAAAATAGGTTTATACAGGAGACGTAAGAAGATACGTCAAATAGGAAAGGCGGTTATTTATATTCAAGCAAGTTTCAATAATACTATTGTGACTGTTACAGATATAACGGGTGAAGTGATCTCTTGGTCCTCCGCGGGCACTTGTGGATTCAAAAGCCGAAAAAAAAAGACAGCTTTTGCTGCACACACCACAGCAAGAGATGCTATTCGTCCAATACAAGGGATGCAAGAAGCAGCTGTCAAGCTAAAAGGTTCGGGTCGTGGAAGAGATGCGGCATTAAGAGTTATTCAGAGAAGTGGTATCCGTGTCACTTGTGTCCAGGACATAAGCCCTATGCCCCATAATGGATGCCGGCCCCCTACAAAAAGACGTATATAAAAAAAAGACTTCTATAAAAATAAATATGAAATGAATCTATTTCATAGAGAAAAAAAAAATAAAAAAATGATTTGAGTAAGGGAGAAGATTATTATGGTTGGGGAAAAAGTAACAATATCTACTCGTACACTACAGTGGAAGTGTGTTGAATCGAGAACATACAATAAGCGTCTTTATTATGAGCGCTTTATTCTAGCTCCACTTTTGAAAGGTCAAGCCGATACAATAGGCATTGCAATGCGAAGAGCTTTGCTTGCAGAAACAGAAGGAACACGTATTACACGTGCAAAATTTGAGCAAATACCACACGAATTTTCGACGATAATGGGTAGTCAAGAATCAGTACATCAAATTTTAATGAATTTGAAAGCAATTGTCTTAAGAAGCAATTTATATGGAACTCACACCGCGTCGATTTGTGTCAAAGGTCCTCGAGAAGTAACTGCTCAAGACATCCTCCTGCCCATTGCTGTGGAAATAATTGATAATACACAACATATTGCTAGCCTAAAGGAACCAATTGATTTGTATATTGAATTAGAAATCGAGAGGAATCGCGGCTATCGTCGACATTTGCCAAATGCCTTTCAAGATGGAAGTTATCCTATAGACGCCATATTCGGACCTGTTATAACCGCAAATCATAGTGTTCATTCTTATGGAAATGAGACTTCAAAACAAGAAATACTTTTTCTTGAAATCTGGACAAATGGAAGTTTAACTCCTAAAGAAGCACTTCATGAAGCCTCTAGGAATTTGATTGATTTTTTTATTCCTTTTTTACATGCAGAGGAAGAAAACTTCCCTGAAGAAGAAAAATTCCCGGAAGAACTAAATCAACACAGGGCTACTTTACCACTTTTGACTTTTACTTTTTATGAGAGTTTCCCGAAACTAATCCAAAATAAAACAGAAAGGGGATTTAGATCTTTTTTTATTGACCAATGTGAATTCCCCCCTAAGATCTATAATTGCCTGAAAAAGGCCAATATACACACATTATGGGATCTGTTGAGTAAGAGTGAAGAAGACCTTATGAAAATGGAACATTTTAGCATAGAAGATCTAAGAGAAATAGTGGACAAATATTGTCCATTTTTTATCACAAATAAAACAGAAATTCTCTAAATGAATAAAAAGTTTCGCAATTGATTTCCAAAATAATCCATTTTTTTTTACATTTGATTTGGATTCATTTTCATCTTATAAAAAGATGAAAATGAATCCAAATCTTTATCCCATTCTATATCTAGAATCTATTTACAAAATCGATCAAAAATTCAATTGACTCGATGTCATCTAGGGGTAGGCTGAATTATCTTTGAAGGGATTATTCCCTAGATACATACGTCGTACTATTCTATTTTAAAATTGATTGCGTTTAAAAAAGACCGAGAGTTAAGGATTTATCAATAGGTAAGGTTGCTCCAATACCTAACCAAAGGGCCACTGCCGTACCGATCAAAAAGACAGTTGTTGCGACTGGACGACGAAATGGATTTTGGAATTTATTAACATTTTCCAAAAAAGGTACTGTTAATAATCCCGCAGGTACTGAAACCATTAAAAGAACACCTAATAACTTATTGGGAACGGTACGAAGTATTTGAAAAACAGGAAAGAAATACCATTCAGGCAAGATTTCCAAGGGGGTTGCAAATGGATCCGCGGGTTCACCAATCATTGAGGGTTCTAAAACCGCCAATCCTACATTACATGCAATAGTACCTAGAATGACTACTGGAAAAATATATAAAAGATCATTGGGCCATGCGGGTTCTCCGTAATAATTATGACCCATTCCTTTAGCCAATTTAGCTCTTAAAACAGGATCATTCAAGTCAGGTTTTTTTGTTATTGGGATAGGTGAATTCTTTTCTTAGGGATCCATCCTCCGAAGGAACCGGACATGATAATTTCTCATCATCCGGCTCGAGCAAGAATCAAATGAGCTAAACAAATCTCTCTCTCAAAATCTAGATAGATGCCTAGATGGTATATGATATATATGATATTCTTCATGTATATATACATATGTGAATGATTTTCTGTGATAAAAAATTGACCCGATTCCTTTTTTTTTCCAGAATTTCAACCATCCATTATCCATTGCAAAGAATTCCATTCTTTTCTTACAGGTTTTCTTACAAGTAAATGCTCAATACCCAAGTAGGCCAATCCAATAAAGTTGATCATGATCCAATGCTTTTTGGGATGTCTCAAACCTTTCATTTGGGTCCTTATTTCCCGATTTCCCGAAAAATATCGATTCCATACATACAAAGGATTCACTTGTTACTAAATAGAGTTTAGCCTTTGTTATTCTTTAGATCCTTTGTTTCACTCCGATAGTAGAACCAAATCAGGTTGATGCACCGGAAATGACTGCACTTCGCTACTATTAAGTATTCAGTAAAGGTAATAAGTCTATTAAAGAGATCCAATCTAAGTATAATTTGATAAGTACGTAAAGTATCAATAGCTTAACTAGATAGAATATTCTAGAGATCATACCCTCTAACTTATTCTTCTACCTTATTCTTCTACTGGACTTTACGGAGCCTGCTCATGTTTGATCATCGAAAAGATTCTCTTCACGCAAACCAGCCTAGCTTTTTTCTTTTTTATGGAGCTTGCACAATGGTTGGAACAAAGACACATTTCGTTATGAATTCAAATGTGGCAGATAAAGGCATATATCGGCACGGCCAAATCAATAGTTCAAGTCACACACTCCCATAATCCATTTTTTTTTTATTCAGAGAATTCACTTCAACTATTTCTATTAAATACTATAAGTTTTTCTTAAATAAAAAGACTCTAAGTTTTTTCGAGTTGAAGGGAAAGATCCAAATACATGTCTTATTATTTTCAATAATCCATATTTGTAGCAATGAAATAGTCCTTCTCCTCCCCCCGGCAATCACCGATTAATTTACAAATAGAATCTATATTCTCTATAAAGGACCAGAAATACCTTGCTTCCGTATCATTGGAAAGTGCATTAACATAAATACGGCAGTAAGAAGAGGTAATACAAAAGTGTGTAAACTATAAAAACGAGTTAAAGTGGATTGTCCTACACTAGCACTTCCACGTAATAACTCTACCAAAGGTGATCCTATTCCAGGAATAGCGTCCGGTACACCTGTTACAATTTTGACTGCCCAATAACCAATTTGGTCCCAAGGTAAGGAATAACCCGTTACGCCAAAAGATGCGGTCAATACAGCAAGAACCACACCTGTAACCCAAGTCAATTCACGAGGTTTTTTAAAGCCCCCCGTGAGATAGACGCGAAATACATGTAAAATCATCATTAGAACCATCATACTTGCCGACCAGCGATGAACTGATCGAATTAACCAACCAAAGTTAGCTTCAGTCATTATGTATTGAACCGAAGCAAAAGCCTCAGTAACGGTCGGACGATAGTAAAACGTCATCGCAAATCCCGTAGCTACTTGGACTAAAAAACAAGTAAGCGTAATTCCTCCTAAACAATAAAAGAGATTGACATGCGGAGGGACATATTTACTAGTTATATCATCTGCAATCGCCTGAATCTCGAGGCGTTCTTCGAACCAATCATAGACTTTATTGAGATAGGGAAAACTCGGGAGACCCCCCCCTCCGAGAACCGTATAGGAGAATTTCATCTCGTACAGCTCAAACAGAACCACTCAAATAATAGTTAAAAGAGATAAATATATGGAATAGAAATTTTGTATTCTTAATCCTATAGATATAGAGTTCTAAAATGCAACAATCTTCTCTAAAGATGACTAACTCTAGTTAAAAATAAAAACCTTAAGACTATTCTTTGTGGTTAGAATGCCAAAATATCAAGTCGACTCATTCATTTCTTGGTGTTGAGAGGCCTCTTGAATTTTCTATTTAGACATTTTTTATTCTCATTAATTTGGTATTGTTGTTTCTATGTACTCTTTCGTTACTGGTTTTTTTGATTCGTGATTGATAGGAATTTTCTTGTTAAGATCCTAGAAATCGATTGAAACCTCAGATTCACACTAGACCCACGATGATTCACTAAAATCTTTAACCTAAGTTTAAGTTAAGTGCAAAGATTCTCTGAGTAAGAATCGTTGTATGATCACTGATTCAATAAATCAATCAAAATAAATAGAATGATGCAAAAGCAAAAAAAAAAGTGTGCCTTTTGCTCAAAAAAAAGGAAAGATAGCCAAGGAGTTTGAAATAAATAAAACCTTTCCATTTCCGCCCTCGAACTCTTTCTTCTCTTTAAACTAACCTTTTTTTTTTCAAGTTTGGTTACGAGATCTGAATATTAAGTATAAATCATAGTTGTAAAACTTCCTAATCTATTTCCTCTATTCCGTGCTTCGGATATTATACTAAATATCCGACGAGATAAAAAACCATCTCTAGCAAAGCAAGATGACAGACCCCTTCTCTGTATTATCAATAGGATTCATTATAACAAGCCGCACACTCATATTCCATAAATGCAGAAAGAAATTCCACGATCGAACTCCCAAAATCAAATAGAAAAAGAAAATAGAATTGTATAAAAAAAAAAAAAAAAAAAAAATTAAAGACCAAAACCGTTCACATTGTAGTAAAAAACTGGGGCTTACTGGTCCTTGTAAATCTAATTCATTGCAATCCCATCTAGTAAAACAGAAGAATTATATATCTCTAAAATAATAGATAGGAATACCGCAAAAAGAGCCATTGCGACACCCATCAAAGGAGTAGTTCCCCATCCCGGAGCTACTTTACCATATTCCGAATTCAATGGTTTTAATAACTCCCCTACAACAGTTTGTCTTGGACCCGATCTCGAACTACCCTCAACACTTTGTGTAGCCATAACTCCTATTTTGTGTTAATTGAACTTTGTTGACTTTGTATGTCAGTTTCTATTTAATTTGAGTGTAAATAAATGATCTTATCCTAGATCCTTTGTCCTCCCTTGAAAATAATAATGGAAACAGCAACCCTAGTCGCCATCTTTATATCTGGTTTACTTGTAAGCTTTACGGGGTATGCCTTATATACTGCTTTTGGGCAACCCTCTCAACAACTAAGAGATCCTTTCGAGGAACACGGGGACTAGATGAAGTGATGAGCCTCCCAATATAGGGAGGCTCATTACTTCATCTAAAAAAATCAAATTCATCTAATAAAATCAAAACGCATTTCATTTTTTAGTTGGAACTTGGGGGGGTTCTCGAAAAAAGATAGCGAAAAAAATGATTCCTAGAGTCGAGACTAAGAGGAATGTATAAACCAATGCTTCCATAGATTCAACGGTAGTTTAGAATTATAGCTTCTATACCTGTTTATTTATTTGTTTATTTTCGACCGTCCCCCTGCCAATGCGAAAAAAGCCAAGATTGACAACAAAGACAGTGAGAAAAATCCGGTACTCTCCGTCAAATCACAAAAAAAAGAGGAGAAGAAGAGAGAGCACTCTTGGATCATACTACTTGTCTTCGTGTGGTTGGATCTCCCAGTTTTTGGAATGCTCCAAATTCCACTTGAGCATCTAAATCTGGATCAATACCAGCAAAAACATCTCTGAACAGAGTTCGAGCACCATGCCAAATGTGCCCGAAAAAGAAAAGCAGAGCAAAGGAGGCATGGCCAAAAGTAAACCACCCCCTTGGGCTGCTACGAAAAACACCATCGGATTTCAAAGTAGCACGATCTAATTCAAAAATTTCACCCAATTGAGCGCGTCTAGCATATTTTTTCACAGTAGCAGGATCACTATAACTAACCCCATTTAGTTCACCACCATAGAACTCGACGGTTACTCCGACTTGTTCAACACTATATTTTGATTCTGCCCTTCGAAAAGGAACATCGGCTCTAACAATGCCGTCTCCGTCTACTAAAACAACAGGAAATGTTTCAAAAAAAGTAGGCATACGCCGTACAAAAAGTGCATCCCCTTCTTTATCTCTAAAGATAGGATGGCCTAACCACCCAACAGCTATTCCATCTCCGTTGTCCATTGAGCCTGCTCTGAACAATCCGCCTTTTGCCGGATTATTGCCAATATAATCATAAAAGGCCAATTTTTCAGGAATTTTAGACCAAGCTTCGGATAAACTTTGATTTTCGGCTAGACCATCACTAACTCTTTTATAAATTTCTTGTTGAAAGTACCCCTGATCCCATTGATAACGAGTTGGACCAAATAATTCAATCGGGGTAGTTGCTGAACCATACCACATAGTTCCAGCAACTACAAAAGCTGCAAAAAAAACAGCAGCGAGACTACTGGAAAGGACGGTTTCAATATTTCCCATACGCAATCCTTTGTAGAGACGTTGGGGCGGACGGACACTAAGATGGAATAGACCTGCTAATATGCCCAATGTTCCTGCTGCAATATGATGCGAGGCTATTCCTCCCGGAACGAAAGGATCAAAGCCTTCAACACCCCACGCGGGATTTACAGCTTGTACCTTTCCGGTTAGTCCATAAGGGTCGGACACCCATATTCCAGGACCGTACAATCCAGTTATATGAAAAGTGCCAAAGCCAAAACAAGCCACCCCTGAGAGAAATAAATGAATTCCAAAGATCTTGGGCAAATCCAAAGAGGGTTTTCCTGTACGTTCATCACAAAAAATTTCTAGATCCCAATACACCCAATGCCAAATAGCTGCCAAGAAGCACAAGCCAGAAAAGACAATATGTGACCCAGCCACACCTTCATAACTCCAAATACCCGGATTCGTTATAGTTCCTCCTGTGATACTCCAACCACCCCACGAGTTGGTTATTCCTAAGCGAGTCATGAAGGGTATAACAAACATACCCTGTCTCCACATTGGATCAAGAACGGGGTCTGAGGGATCAAAAACGGCTAATTCATATAAAGCCATCGAACCAGCCCAACCCGCAACTAAAGCCGTATGCATTATATGGACAGACAGCAAACGACCGGGATCATTCAATACAACGGTATGAACACGATACCAAGGTAAACCCATGGAAAAACACCTTCCTTTTTTTGATGAATGAATAAATAAACACTATGTAACTTTATTGCACTGGAAAATTAGAAACCCTCCTTATTTCTTTTTCGACTGATTCTCTCGGAGAAAAGATAACATTTTTTTTTTCTAGTCTTTAAGTGAAAATTTTCAAATTCTGTTTGTCGGAAGAAAGAGAAGCGGATCTATTCTATACTTGATGAGTATCAATACGCAATGGGGTTTTGATCTCTAAAAACGAATCCTTTTTTTAATTTATACAAAAAAAAGTATTCTGATTAGTATTCGATTAAGATTAAGTTAAAGGGATCCCTGGAATCATATATCCGATATAGAAAAACGGAATCCCGTCGAGTTCTTACCCTTTCATATCTACAAATGAGTTCATCCGATTACTACTTACTACTAGAGGGATGAACCTAATCCAGAATATGAACCATAAAAGAAAATGCCTAGTAAACCAATTACAAGAATACCAGTTACAGTACCTATTATCCAAAGAGGAATCCTTCCAGTAGTATCGGCCATTTATCACACTTCCTCCCACATTTTCAATAAGTGCTCATACTATAGACATAAACAGTCCTAGATAATTATGAGATGGTATCCTTCCGAGAGGATAAGAGAATTACTACTCTTATTTAGTATATTTAGTATTCTACTCTACTTTTTTATTTTGATTTTCTTTTGTTTTTCTTAATTAAAGAAATAATTAGAAAATAAAACAGCAAGTACAAAAATGAGTAACAACCCCCAGTAAAGACTGGTACGATTCAATTCAACATTTTGTTCGTTTGGGTTTGATTGTGTCATAGTTCTATTATAATGAATTTGGATTAGGGTTATCGTTGGATGAATTGCATTGCGGATATGGATCCCAAAAAAAAAACGGTAGGTACAGCTAGGCCGTGAACAGCCAACCATCGCACTGTAAAAATTGGATAGGTTCGATCTATGGTCATTGAGGCCTCCTAAAATGATTTACTAAATTCATCGAGTTGTTCCAAAGGATCAAAACGGCCAGTTATTAATGGAATTCCTTGTCTGCTCTCCGAAAAATATTCATTTGGGCGAGGACTTCCAAATACATCGTAAGCTAAACCCGTGCTGACGAATAGCCATCCTGCAATGAATAGAGAGGGGATAGTAATGCTATGAATGACCCAATATCGAATACTCGTGATAATATCAGCAAAAGAACGTTCTCCTGTACTTCCAGACATACTGAGCTCCACATATTCTTCTACATACAGTAAAAAGGGATCGATTCCATAAAAGATGCGATCAGTAAACGAGAATTCACTGAAGTTCAATCTTTACAGGATCGTCCATATTGTACCAAGGGTTTCTTTAAAGTATACCAAAGCAGTATAGCTGCCCTTCTTCTGCCACAGCAAGGCAACGTCCATCAGTACAGTAGAAAAATAATATCTTAGATAATTTCTTTCTTCTTCTCCCTCTAGAATCGCATAACATCGCTCAAATAAAAGTGGTTTAGATCAGATATAATGGGAATTTTAAGATTTTTTCTAATAAGAATTAATAAAAATTCATCAAAGAGATTATCCTAGTTCGGAAATTCAATTCGATAAGAACTCCAATTGGATTTTCAGTATGGTAATTAAGTACGCTTAGAAGCTAGTTTTGGATCAAAGAAGTCGAACTATGAAGAACTCAAAAATGGATAATTGGAATAATTTATATCTGACTCTTTGGTTTTTGTAGGCTATTTCTACAAAAATACCGAAATCAAATCCAAATTTCAATTAATTTCAATTAATAAAAATAGAACATTATACAAAGAAAAAGAAAAGTCAATTAGACAATTAGATAGACAATTAGAAAGAATCTATATAGATACTAAATTGAAAAAATATAGAATATATAGAAAGTAAAAAGGAATAGATATGTAAAAATCCCGCGTCCAATAGGATTTGAACCTATACCAAAGGTTTAGAAGACCTCTGTCCTATCCATTAGACAATGGACGCTTTTTTTTTTTTTCATTTCCATTTTTTGTTCTTTTTTCTTTGTCTTTAACATCGCCTCCCTCTTCAGAAAATTCATCAAAAAAAAGTGAGATGCTTTTTGCAATCAATGATATTAAATTCGATTTCTTATTCTATCCAGATTCGGGATGGGATGTTCTTTCTTGTCTTAGTTACCTATCGATAGATCTCCCATTCTCTTTTTGTTAGTCTCATCTAGAATATATAATAATAATGATTGCAAAATTCAAAACTTTTCATTTCAATTAGGGAAGTGTTTTCCAAACATATGTATAAAATAAAGTTTATTTATCTCCTTTATGTCTACTATAACTAGTTATTTCGGTTTTCTACTAGCAGCCTTAATTCTAACATCAGTTCTATTTATCAGTCTGAGCAAGATACGGCTTATTTGAAAAAAATTGAATGAACAATTCATAAAACGAAAAAACAAAAAGCAATTTGTCTACACTATTAGGTCTATTCCTCTAGTTCTTTACCGGTGGTAGAAATTGCAAGTCTTGGTTATTGAGATTTATGGGCAATCTGGATTAATATTTAAGGATAGATATTGCATTTCTTATTCTTTTTTGAATTCAAATGATTGAAATTTTCCTATTTGGAATCGTCTTAGGCCTAATTCCTATTACTTTGGCTGGATTATTTGTAACTGCATATTTACAATACAGACGTGGTGATCAGTTGGACCTTTGATTAGTTAAGAACGTTTGACCTCCTTTGATTGAAGGAGGTCAAAAAAAAGGTCCGCTTGTTGTTCCAAATTTTCTATTACCCACGAAAATAAAACAAGAACAGAATCACGCTCTGTAGGATTTGAACCTACGACATTGGGTTTTGGAGACCCACGTTCTGCCGAACTGAACTAAGAGCGCTTTCTTAATCAGAAAAAGGCTGAGAGATTCGTTTTTTTTTTTTTTATTCGCTTCACAATCAATCCATCTTGAAGGTTGAAAGCCCTATATATTATTCTATCCATACAATAGAATATAAATGAAAAATTCGGTATATCCAATTTTAATTTGAATGGATAATCAATGGATTTTTTCTTATTGCTCAGATGCGAAGTAATAGGTAGGGATGACAGGATTTGAACCCGTGACATTTTGTACCCAAAACAAACGCGCTACCAAGCTGCGCTACATCCCTTTCAATTGGTTTACAATTACATTATAGAGAATGCCCGTCGTGTTTTCCACCTACTTAGTTCATTTTCTCCAGGGATATACACAACTTATCTTACCATTTTTTTTGTCTCAGAAATAGTATCATATAATATAATAATAACCTTTGCGACATATGAAAATATATATATGAAAAAGAATCTATATATCTATATATAGGAAATATAGGAATATAGGAAACCCGCTGTCCATTTCTCGAATGCTGGAACAGAACAGACGGTTTGTTGTTCTTGCAAGAACAACAAAAAAAATCCTATCTATGAAATAGGAAATCCTTCTTCAATTTTAATTAGGGATTCTGTGGGCAAAACAAATGCAAGTGAACTTGAAGATATCGATCTGATCCTATATGTATTACAATAAAAAGAGTATTACTATAAATAGGAAATGAATAAAAATTGAATTTCTACAATTAGAATTTACAATTAAAGTAAGGAGTATTGAGAATGCGAGATTTAAAAACATATCTATCCGTTGCACCGGTAATAAGTACTCTATGGTTCGGGTCTTTAGCAGGTCTATTGATCGAAATCAATCGTTTTTTCCCAGATGCATTAACATTCCCCTTTTTTGCATTCTAGTTATTAATACGAGATATGGGGGAGGGGGGTGAAGAAGATTCGAAATACAATTCAATAGTTGAGACTCCTATCTTATCCTCGCTCTTCTTTTTTGTTTTTAATTACAATAGTTCTAGATATAAAAGAGAACGATGAAAAGTGAATTCAAACTCAACAAAACGTCCCGTCCCAGACTTTCATTTAAGGAAATGCATTTAACTCAAATTAAGTAAGAGATAAGAAAATAAAAGCGTAAATGTGGTTAAGACAACAATATCATATAAGATTCTTCACTAAAATACTCGAGTTCAATTCGAATCTAAACTTGAAATCGAAATAGACTTTGAAATTATTGTATTCTAACTTCTTCCTAGATTGATTACAACGAAATATTTCGTTGATTTCGAGCGAGTTAGTCACTTCGATTTTTTTCTTTTCTTCACTTCAAATCGGAAATGAAAATTGGAAAATAGAAGAGTTGAGGGAATAAAAGACAACCAAACTAAAAAAATAGAGGAGGAGATTCATGGCTAAGGTAAAAGCTAAGGTAAAAGATGTTCGAGTACAGATTATTTTGGAATGTACCAACTGCGTTCAAAAGAGTGTTAATAAGAAATCAACAGGCATTTTCAGATATATTACTCAAAAGAATCGACACAATACGCCTAGTCGATTGGAATTGAGAAAATTCTGTCCCGGTTGTTACAAACATACGATTCATTGCGAGATAAAGAAATAGAAGGAATCTCATCATCTACTTGTACTTGTCGCCTTTACAAGACAAGCAAGATGCAAAATGGCACGACCTGGCAACATAGAAGATGTTAAGATATAGTTTCTATTTAAATTTAAATAGAAACAAAGAAAAGCCTATTCCTTCAGTTTCAAGTTTTAATCAGTATTTTTTTTGATCCGATCGAACGAAATAGGAGTTTTCAAATTCAATAATGAAATAGGAGTTTTCAAAAAAAAATAAGGAATAAACAAATCATGGATAAATCCAAGCGACCCTTTCTTAAGCCCAAGTTTAAACCCAAGGGCCCTTTTCTTAAAAAAAAGAGACCTTTTCGTAGACGGGTGGCCCGGCCCAAGGGTCCAATTGTTTATAGTAATCTTCGTTTAATTAGTTTTTTTATTAGTAAACAAGGAAAAATTTTATCTAGGCGACGGAATAAAGTGACTTTAAGAGAACAACGAGCGATTACTCTTGCTATAAAACAAGCTCGAATTTTAGCTTTTTTACCTTTTGTTAAAAACGCGAGCGCACAAAGGATTAAAAACGAGAAAGAGAAAGCAAAAAGGAAATTACTTGCTAGACTTACAGGTCCTGGCACCGGAAAAGCTAAAACTAAAGGACCTCGAACTGGAAAAGCTAGACCTAGAGGAAAAGCTAAACCTAGAGAAAAAGCTAGACCTAGAGGTCCTCGAACCAGAAAAAAAAGAGATTGATTTACTCAATCCAAATTCTAATCCGAACTAAAATGAAACATAGATTGAAAAATATGAAGAAAAAAAAAAACGATTTGTTCTCTCTCAAATCGTTTTTTTTTTTTTTTGAATGGTTTTATTAAGTTTGCCTACGGGATTGATCATATTATTTTCCTATTTTATCCTATTTATTTATTTATATTCTACCTTCTCCTCTCCTAATTTATTTTCCGGAGAATGCGATGGAAATGAATTAGTCCGATAGATTCTTTTCCATTTCGATATTTTATAATTTTAGGCCGGGTTTAGGATGTTTTTTGAAATCGTAAAAATACAATTCCTATTCAATATAGCCATTTGTGCAAGTATTTTACGATTAAGAAGCAACTGTCTCTTGTAGAGATTGTTTATTAATCTATTATAGTTAATAGATATACTATTCTCGCGAATTACTGCATTGATCCGAGTGACCCACAAACGCCGAAAATTCCTTTTTTGCCCATCTCTATCTCGATCCGACGAAGCTAAGGCTCTTATTTTTTGTTGAATCATACTTCGAGTAAGTCGTGAGCGCGCCCCGCGAAAATGTGATGTGAGGAAACATATTTTTGTTCTACGTCTATTAGCTATATATCCTCGTCTAGTTCTAGTCATTTAGTCATTGAATAAGTGAAACTTTGATGAATAACTAATTTACTTTTTTTTCTGTCAGCTATTCTTTTAGCCTTTTATAGAAAAACAAAACGGATTCTTCCAATATATCAAAAAAGAATTCCAGCGGCTTTTGCTACTATAACCTTCCTACTCACCATTTTCTTTCTAGGGAATTTTTCCTAGAAATAGGAAATATGTATCGATACTAGGTATCAAACAAAAAATATACTAAATAATAATAATCAAAATAGTCAAATAAAAAGATTCAATATAAATGAATAAAAAGAATAAAAAACAAAAAGTCACAATATTATTTCTAAAAATTGAAAACTACCAATAGCTATTTTAACTTCTTATTTTAAATTACAAAAAAGAATTAGACATTTTATTTAGTTTGAATAGTTAGTAAAGAAATAGTGGGTTCCGTCGTTTCTATGGTTACTTCGTAAACGGTGAGGTCTTCTCTATACACCGGAGCTCCTTCTTCATTGACTCATTTAATCAATGTTTTTGTTAACTTGTACAGTTCACACTCTTTGGCTCTAGCTATGAATTAGCCAGCGATAGGTCTTTCACACCGAGATCCATCTATACAGTAACGGTATTTAATTATGAAGATTTGCTAATTGAATTAGCTGACCCTTCGAGTCCGTTCTTAGAAGAAAAGGGCCTGCTTTTTGATCTTTTAATTTAAATAGGGTTTACCCTGCTTAACTTAATATAGAATCATTTTCTATCAATCGGGTCTTCCTTCAAGTTTAAATTGAAAAAGGAGGTGATTCAAATTTCACCAAAGAAAACCATAATTTTGATATAAAATAGAAAAAAGAATGATATGATAGATCTTTCGTTCCTCTAAATAAAAGATACAAATGAGGGATTCCTCCAGTCTATCCTATTTCTATTCATCACGAATCGCAGGGAATGGAAAAAAATGATTTCTTTTCTCCTGTCCCAACCGCGGATCTAAACGAGTCGCACATACGTCCTAGTACACCTTCCTCGTCGCTGAGGACATCCCGCAAGAGCGGGGGTTTTTTTTCTCCTTCTGGTTGGCTGTCTTGTGTTTCTAATAAGTTGTTTAACAGTTGGCATGCATGTTTAATCATATGTGTGATGGTTCGGTTTAGACTCATCCTAACCAGGATGAAAGCTAAAGTTCCTAACCTAGCCGGGATGAAAGATAAAGCCCGAAATACCGCAAATTGGATGTAGACAAAGCCCGGAATACAAATTCCGGGCTTTGTCTATATCCAATTTGCGGCCAAACCAGTCACTTTTGTGACGACCTTTATTCCCCCTACTCAGCCCACCTTCCTCCCCTCCCTCCTCCCTCCTACCTACATCCTATACTAGTAGTCGTTCGTTGTCGGAGATCCAGAAATCCATGGAGTATGGGTCGTGCGTGCCTTTCCCACTCTCCATCTAACACTATGCACACAACGACTACCAGCCCATGATAATAGTCCACAGATAGAATACGCAAAATAGGATACGTAAACCCAGAGGGAACCACCAAGGGGGGTGCGGTGGGGGTACGCGAATTATGAACGGGAAGACATAGGTTGCGATGATGAAGAGAATCATTAGAGCTATCTTATCTAGCCCATCAACAATTCGTATACCCGCCTCAGTATAAAAGAAAAATATTTCAGCACGTACCAATAATCTTTCAAAAAATCTTTCAATAGGCCTTTCAATAATACGGTACACAAGTCCTCGTATGCGCCTTCTATTAGGTGGGTAACCCCATAATATTTGATAGATAATAAAAGCTATCGTGAAGGCAACCTGAAGGCGGGTCACACTATACCAGATAAGCGCCAACCTGCACGCTCCAGTCGTTCTACTGTCACAGAGCACCAGGATGATACCCCAAACCTTATGCGCTTTGTACTTAAATTCTGCAATTAACAGGGCAAAGGTCGCCTGGCCAACTTGATGGATAACCTGAGCCAGGCGATCTTTATCCATTAGAAACCTAAAAAGATCGATCATCCTTTCTAGTATTTCTCTTTGTATCTTTTGCACCATTTTCTGTTTTAATCTGCGGATACTGCGGAAAAGCTTCCGCAGCATCGCAATTCGTGGGCTATTCATAATAAACTCCCTCCTTAAAATAAAATTTTATATACGCTTTCTTCATCAGACTCTATTTTTCCTTCATCAGACTCTATTTTTCTATGTGGAATAACGCGATCAATAAGTCCATAGGACTGGGCGTCTGCTGCAGACATAAAAAAGTCCCGTTCTATATCCTTAGATATAACGTCCGCATCTTGTTGCGTTGTGAACGCATATATATCAATTACCCTCTGTCGCAAGTCCAATAACTCGTCTACATACGAGGTGAGCTCGTCCATTCTATTACTAATTGGTAATGTAGGAATTTTTTTTTCTTTTTTTTTTTCTTTTTCTTGTTCTTTGTTTTTTTTTTCCTCGGACTTAAGACGAAACTCACCAGTTGGTTGATGTATCATTACTCGCGTATGCGGGAAGGCCACTCGCTCGTTTTGGTCGCCTGCGCAGAGGATCAAAGATGCTGTTGATGCAACCAGCCCCAGTCCTACTGTATGCAGGCTCAAGTCCAAATCACAACTTTGCATCATATCGAAAATGGCTAATCCTGACTTTAGGAAGCCGCCTGGCGAATTGATAAAAAAACTCAACTCGTCAAGGTCTTCCTTTTCCTTATTGAGCAAGACGATAGAACCAATAATATTACTTGCCATTTCGTTATCAATTTTACCAAATATAAAAAGAGACCCTGACTCAAAAAATAGCGTAGGTAATTCCACCCATTCCTGTTGACTTTCTCTCTCTTCTTGTTGGTCTTCCCAAAATTTGTATTTGCCTGAGTAGTATTCCTCTGCCCAGCCCTTGTAAAAATGATCTTGAAATTTCATCAAACGATGATGCGACTCAGAGTCCAGGGAATCCTGAAAATCCTGGTCATCCTCCTCCTTTCGAGCGCGAAACTCTCTCAGCTGAGGATCCTCGGGTTCATCGTCGTAGTAAATTTTTTGATCTTCAAAGTCAAAGTCTTCATCCGCGTCGTAAAAAGGAACAAGTGGAATTCCTAGGGCCATATTTCTTTATTTCTCCTATGGACTCAAATTATAGCTTCCATACCTGTTTGTTTTATGTATAACTGTAGTGAAGTTGGATATCCATCCCATTTCAATTTTTTAACTTAAAATTGGGGGTTTGGGGATTCTTGATTTTTCTTTCTTTTGATTTTCTACATATACTCAACGCCGGACTTTTACTTCTTTTCGTTCTTTTTCGTTCTTATTACTTTTTCTTTATTCTTATTACTTTTTCTTCTTTATTATATTATTACAATGAATTTCTTAACTATACATGACCTTAATTTCGCCCTTACCTTGACCTTACCTTGAAGCTTGAAGAAAGGCTATCACATCCCATCCCGAGGTGCTGCTAAATGTCAGGATCTTGTCAACGTCCAAACAATTCTCTCAACAAAGTTGAAAGTTTTTTTATCATACCATAGATACATAATTGAATTGCTATAGATCGATAGATATAGAATTGCATTGCCAACACAAATTCATTTTTTTCCTTTATTAAATAATTTGATAAATCCGCAGATCTAGAAATTCATTTCGGACAATTGAACCTTCTCAAACTGTTTTTTTTTAAGAACTAAAAAAATTTGTGCTAAAATAACCGATGTCAAGAAGAACAAAAGGCCTTGGATACGTAATGGGTCTTGAAGTACTATTTCCGCATCACCCTGACCAAATCCACCCACATTCGGATTACTCGTTAATGGTTGATCCAGTTTGATTGATTCACCTTCTGAAACAAGAAGTTCTGGTCCTGGAGGTATAATATCAATCACTTGACGCTCCTCTGAGGCATCTGTTATGGTTATTTCGTATCCCCCTTTCTCTTTTCGTATGATTTTGCTTACTCTACCCGCAGCTGTCGCATTATAAACCGTATTATTACTCTTGCTACCGTCGGGATAAATTTGTCCTCTTCCCCGATTTCCACCTACATATATAGGATATTTTAAGAAGTGAACATCTTTTTTAGTAGCGGGGTCCGGAGAAAGAATAGGAAAGGTAATTTCAGTATATTTCTGACCAGGCACAGGTCCTATCACAAGAATATTTTTTTTATTGGGTCGATAACTCAGAAAAGAGAGATTGCCTATCTTTTCTTTCATCTCTGGAAAAATACGATCTGCTGGGGCTAATTCAAAGCCCTTGGGTAAAATAAGAACAGCCCCCACATTCAAAGCTCCCTTTTTACCATTAGCAAGAACTTGTTTCAGTTGCATATCATAAGGAATTCGAAGAACTGCTTCAAATACAGTATCTGGAAGGACTGCTTGCGGAACCTCAATATCCACAGGCTTATTAGCTAAATGACAATTGGCACAGACAATACGCCCTGTTGCCTCACGTGGATTTTCATAACCCTGCTGCGCAAAAATAGGATATGCACTTGAAATGGATACCTGAGTCGTTATATATATGATGAGCGATACAGAAATGAAGCAAGTAATCTCGGCTTTTATCCCAGAAAGGCTCTTTCTAGTTTGCATGGTACAGTCGGTGATGCCAAAAATTTCTACAATAAAATTAGGTAGGTCAGGAGTCTAGGTCCATACCTATGATGCTGCTATTTTACTGAAAGATTTTTTTTTAGTAAAATAAAGGAGGAATCCCCATCGCTTAGACCTTTCCGTGTATAGCAAAAAAATTCTCAAAAAATAAGATTTTCAATCTTTTGCTTAGGGGCAAAATAACAAGGATTCGGATTGGATAGGTGAATCCTTTTTCAATGTTTCATTGAATGATAAATCACTACAAGTGACGGAGATAGACGATTTAAATAAAAAAAGATTGAATATTTAAAAAGGGTATCGAGAATGACTGGACAACTGGAAAGAAGAATGGATATAATTAGATCGTTATCAGGAAAGCCAAAATCCTTGTAGACAGATTGAATCATGAATTCCCAAATACGATTTGAATGGAATCCTACCAAAAAATCAGTTACTAAAAGAATCAAAAAAGCTTTTATTGTGTCACTTAAGTTATATAGAAATTCTTGAATCCAAGAATTAATAAAACGAAGTTCTTCATTACGTAGAATATAATAACCGCTTAGAATAATGAAACATATTATATTTGTCGAGAAGTGAAAAAACATCTGGATACGCTCCTCATTGTACATCTTGATCAATTGGATCGTTTCTTTGTGGATTGTGATAATCGACTTTTGTCGATGTGGTTCCGGATATTCCTTTATCATTTCGTCCAACAAGAAGAGTTCCTCTAATTCTATGAATTTATCTATCATACTCTTTTCTTGAAGAGTATTGAAAACAATTTCAGATTGACTAGTATTTCCCAAATTAATAACCCCAAATTCCACACTTTTATGAACCAAAAAAGAGATAAACGAGGGCAACAATACCAGAGATGTAAGATAAAGAATGGAGATTAATGCTTTTTGTTTTTTCATTTTGTCGTCTGTGAATTGTTAATGAAGTCAACTCATTCGTCGACTCTATATGATGGACTTTTTTTCCAGACGTTCACGGCATGCCTTGGAACCTCTAAATGGCTTCTCGATTTTGACTTTGTAAATCATTAGTTCGATCCTGAACTTATAAAAAATGTCAGAAATTTTAGAAAGAGTATACGAATGAAGAAAAAAATCTTGTTTTCAGATCTCTCAATTGGTCAAATTCAAAAAAAAAACTTTCCTCTTGTTGAAAAATGTTCAAAAAAGCCATTTCAAATTGAGAGTTCTAGATGCAATAATTCCCTTCGGTTATATTAAACTAACAAATCCAATAGCAAATATACCAATAATATATAAAATATACCAATAATATATATAAGTGGCGGACCGCCTGCAGTTACCAGAAAAAAAGGGAGATCTATTTCGGATTCGGAAGAATATTATGATGTTATGATCAAAAATCAAAAACGGGTGGTAAGTTTAGGGCAAAAAAAGAAAGTTGGATTGACAAAAAGAAAGGGCATTTACAAGAAAGGATCTATCGTATCAATTGCGAATTCAATATAGAAAATATATATAGATAGAATTTTTTGAGTCTCTCTCTTATTAGATCTTAGTCCGAAATGCCTCGTTTTGCTTTCGTCAATGTGTCTATTATTTTGATTTCGTACTTCTTTTGTTAATGAATTAAATGAATTTCAATACCTATAAAAAAATTGCGAATAAAAAAGTTTTGGTTTACTTTATTATAGAGTGTATGTATATTCTATCATTTTTGATTATATACTTATTTAGTATATACTCTATTATATACTCTATTTTTGAGTATATGATATAATACCCGATTCGATCATATAATACATATCTAAAATATATAAAAAAGAATTAGAATTAATATTAGAATTAATAAAGTAGAAGATTTTATTTGTTCTGTTCATCAATATAGAATACTATGACGAAGACGAAATTTCAATTCAGTTAGGCTTATATAAAAAAGAAAGATTCTTTTTTCTTTGCTGCTAAGAAAATGCTCATTCTTGAGTTGAGTGCATTTCAAAATACTTCAATTGGTACATGCAAGAAATAGGCCAACTCCGCCGCCTTTTTCTCAATTTCTCGTGGAGTCCTATTTTCATTGGTCCGAGTCAAAGTAAAGGCTCCCTGACCTCTGATTTCCATATAAAGAACACGTCGAGGAAAAAGACCCTCTTTAACTTCTATTTTGATAGACTGAATATCTTTTATAAAAAATCTGAGTAAGAGGCGACGATTCTTTCCCGGAAAGCCCCAACGAAAAAGAGAGACTATTCCTTCTTTTCTATCGAATCGATCATAACCACTACCAATATTCCACGAAATTGTGCACCACAAATACGAGCTAATAAATAGACCGGCGATACCATAGAAGGCCATCACGATGCCTTGTGGAAAAAAAAGGATTTGCTGAGACGCAAATAAATATATCCCCATTCTGCCAAGGTAACTGGAAAGTCCAACCAAAAAAAAACCTAATGAACCTAAAAAGAGTATAACGGCCCAACAGATATTACTTGTTTTTCGAGACCCCACTATAAGTTCTATCCATATATGTTTTGATCGCCAACTCATACTCAATCCAGTTTCATTTTAATGAAAAGAGAAGACTAGCCCAACCAAATGAATTTGACTTACTTTTGTTTGTTTTCGAAATCACTTTCTTTTTATCAACTCACATTACCATTTATTCGGATGTCCTTTTTTAGGAGGAATTCCTTCGATCTAAAATGTAATTCAAATTAAAATAAGAATTAAGAATAGCAAGTATCCTGCTCAGACGATTCCCTATCTCAATACATATGGATACATTGGCTTTGCATTTTTTTAGGCGTCGAACTGTATTTCGATTGCTTTTCAATTTTAAATAAGCCCATTTTATCTATCCTATTTTTATCCTATTTTCACCTGTATGTATAATAATTTTTATATTTATATCTGAAGGAGAGACCAGTCCATATACCCGCTATACCATTATAGCCTAATTGACTAGATAGATATCTGGATAGATATCTGGCTTATGAGCCACCCTTCTGATGGAAAATGTTTCATCTCTTTTTTTTTTTCAAGACTTAAGCGATGAAACATTTCCCCATCAGATCTAAAGAATCTTGTTTCTTTGAATATAAAGAAATAAAGAAACTATTGCAATTGCTGGAAATACCAAACCTAATAAAGGGACAAAAATAGAGGGTAAATTGTTGAGAATTGTCATAGAATCGGCACCTCGCATTATTTAATATATGGAACTCTTTATTATTTCTTTTTTTTTTCAAAATTACAAATAATTGATTTCGAAAAGAAAAATTAAAAAATAAAGTGAGGTTATTTTGTTATGGCTTTATCTTTTTTATCATTCGAAATAGGTTGGATTTAATTAAATCCAACCTATTTTGGACTAAAAGTTAACTAAAAGAATAAAAAGAGTAGCTTTTTGACTAAACTAAAAAAGGGGGATTCTTGGAAGAAATGAAGATATAGAATAATAGACAAGACTCTATTTTTACCAACTTCCCCCTTTTTGTTTTTTAGACATATGTAAGAAGAGAGGATTCGTTTTATTTCATTAGGATTTGTATTTTAGTGACTTTTTTTAGCTCTTTCAGTACTGCTACTCTACTTGACCAAGGCTAATTGCTACGTAAATTAAGAGTCTCGTTTTCCTATTCTATTTTTTTTTGACGAAATTTTGAAAGAGTCGTCTAATCAATTTAGGACTAAGTAGAGTAGGATCGAAACGAAAGGAGTGGAACTGCAATAACTCAGTCAAAAGGCTTTTGAAAAGATTTCGCGGCACGATTAGATCCAAGAATCCTTTTTCAAATAAAACTTCGGCTTCTTGGGAACCCTCCGGTACTTCAATATGGAATAATTCCTCAATTACTCTTTTACCGGCAAATGCAATGTAAGCATCAGGTTCAGCAATAATGATATCCCCCAACATAGCAAAGCTAGCTGTCACCCCCCCGGTAGTGGGAGTTGTAAGAATCGACATATAAAATAACTTTTGATTTGATTTTTTTTTCTTATCCCTATACTTAGATAAAGCAGAAGATATTTTAGCCATTTGCATTAAGCTCAAACTTCCTTCTTGCATACGTGCTCCTCCAGAAGCACACACTATAATAAGAGGTAAAAAGTTTTTGGTAGCATGCTCAATCAAACGAGTGATTTTCTCGCCTACTACAGATCCCATACTGCCCCCGACAAAACGAAAATCCATGACACCCATTGCTATTTTAATGCCGTTTAATTTGCCTGTTCCTGTCTCAACAGCCTCAGACAATCCCGTCTCTCTTTCATTCCGCTTCATTTTATCTGTATAAGTTTCTTCATCTTCTATCTTTACGTTTTCTTCGTCTTCCTCTATCTTTACGTTTTCTTCCTCTTCTTTTTTTTCTAATTCTGCTAAAAACGACAATATAGACAACAAGCATCGTAGGTCTTCCTGGTCTTCTTTTGTGATTTCCCTTTCTACTAGAACCCCTCCTTCTATTGCATCATCCTCTGGATCTATGACCACAGGCTCCCCCCCTCCTTCTATTGCATCATCCTCTGGATCTATGACCACAGGCTCCCCCTCTCCGTCGTATTCTGAATCACTGGCTTTATGGAAAGGGATTTCTTCTTTATCTACATAAATGCAGATCCCTAGATCTCGATAATATGAATCGGCGGACGCCTCTAACTCTGCCCTCTTGTCACTGAGATATTCATCTTCAGGGTCTGAAGATTCAGGGTCTGAATCCTCAAGGTTTAAATCCTTAGGCTTTGAATTTACCAAAGCGTATTCCCTATTTACCAAAGCGTGTTGCCCATTAATGACCAAAGCGTGTTGCCCATTAATGACCAAAGCGTGTTGCCCATTAATGTATTTGATACCGCTAGGGTTACCGTTACCGTCACCGTCCGGAGGCTTTGAATTTACCGGAGCCTTTGAATTTCCAGGGCCTGAATCTTTAGCTATGCGATAAGACATGTACCCAAGGTAGGCCCTGTATGTAATATTAATGTCTAAAATTGTAGTTCGAGCTCCACGCTCTTGTTCGGTTAAACCGTCTTGAACGGATAATGAATAGTGTTTTTGAACTCTTTTATCGTCTCGACGGAAGACTAAATATCTAAGTAAATTCATATATTCTTTCTGGGGAGGGTCTTTTTTGTTATTAGGTATATGATTGTTAATTAACTTAGAATAGCCTTCGTAGTAGTAGACAGGGTCCTCAACTTTAGGGTCTGAAGAGTGACCTTTAGCGTTGTTTAAAATTCGATCTTTAAACTTCAAGTCTTGTGTTAAGTCTTTAACGCGATTAAAGAATTCACCGTATGAAGAATCAAGGGGGCCAGAGATTAACTCCTCGTCCGCGCGGACTACATATAGCATTCCCTCTTTAAAACATTCAAAAACCTCTTTTAAATCTTCAACATATAAATAGTATTCGTTGTATAAAGCATCTAGGTCTTCGTCTGCAGGAAAGTCGCAAAAGAAGTTACTGTAACTAGGCGTAACAAGCATTTGAAAGCCTAAAATTACATCTCTAGCTTTTCGATAAATACTTATTTCTTTAAGGTGGTAGAGGTATTCTATGTATGTAGGGTATCTTTTACGGGAGACAATGAGCATTAATTTGTCCTCATCAGATATATAATTAGTTAGAGCGTCAATTTTAGGTGTTAAATACCTACTTTTTAAAGCTTTAACATAGAAAATGTATTCCTGATATGTAAGAAAGTTACCGCCACCCCTAAGGTCACCGCCACCGCTAAGGTTACCGCCACCGCTAAGGTTACCGCCACCGCTAAGGTTACCGCCACCGCCCGGAGGCTTTGAATTTCCCGAGTCTGCACCGCTAAGGTTACCGCCACCGCTAAGGTTACCGCCACCGCCCGGAGGCTTTGAATTTCCCGAGTCTGAATCTTCATGATCTGAATCTTCATCATCTGAATCTTCAGGGTCCTCTAAGAAATCAAGTGGATATGAATTTTCAGGGTCAGCTACGGAATCAAAGTCAATAGGAGCTTCAATAGGATTTTCGTCAATAGGAGCTTCAATAGGATTTTCAAGGGGATCCAAGGAATAAAAGTCAAGTTGATCCAAGGAATCAAAGTGAATAGGATCCAAAGATCGCATCTGTTGATCCATAGGTTTCCAAGTATCTGAATCCAGCAAAAAGTCAATGCGCTCGGAACTCTTCATTTTGATGTAAGAACCACAATATTCACAAATATAGAGTTGTTCTTTCGAAATTTTATGATAAGTCATTCCGTCGCAAAAGTCGCAGACAATCCAAAGATGGCTAAAATCCGTTGCTCTGATGAGAGCCATACCAGCTTCCTTTGGATTGCTATTAAAACTGTTCATACGGTCCGCGTTCGTCAAAATATTCGTTGAAACAGAAGTATTATTCATAAAGTATGTTATATTTATTTTTTTTGTATCCCTTATAAGTCTAAGGGAAAGTCTTTTTTTTGTATCCTTTCTAATCTCTTTTTGTATTCTTTCTAATCTAAAGTAAGCGAAAGTAAGTAATAGTAAGTGAAAGTATTTTTTCAAAAGTAAGCCAAAGAAAGTAAGAGAAAGTATAAGTGAAAAGAATAAATTCGATATTCCATTCCAATGTATCTATATTATATTGCTCACACTAATTTATTTTATTTTAGTGTTTTATGTTTTGAATCTTCCATTTTGATATTTGAATCTCTTAGAGATTTGCGTCCAATAGTAAAAGTAAAGTTGAAACAATTGAAACTTGTAGTTTCCTGTTCCAAGATACAGTGTTGGACAGAATTGAAGTCAAAACAAACAAGCGCGGTAGTCTAATTTTCTTTTCTTTTTCTTTGGGAGACTAAGAAAGAAAACTCTGCATCCATTCCATTCCCGAGAATTCTCGGGAATGGAATGGATGCAGTGCATGGATCGTTGGGATTATTCTCAGGATCCATGCAGTGGGACGATAGGAGTCGAACCTACGAGTACCGGGACCAAAACCCGTTGCCTTACCACTCGGCCACGCCCCACGCATACACTAAGAAAGAGTAATCTTGATCTACATTCTACATATAGATTTTAATCTTGCTATTGCTTTTTTGTCAATCGAACCCGAAATATATGAAATATATATAATCCATTTAGCTTATTGGAATCTATTTAGCTTATTTGGTTGGATTATTTAGCTTATTTGGTTGGATTTTGATATGTATAGCTATAGAATGACAGTAAATTTCTTGATCATAATATCTAATTCATATAAGATATTATATGAAAATGGGATTTCTTCTATTCTTTTTTTGCTTTTTGATTTGAGAATGAAAGGCTTTTTGATTGGATAAGCTTAAAGGCAGGTTTTTGTATACCTTACCTTCTTTCTATTCCATTTTTTTCTCAAAAATCTATTACTAACTCAGTCAAAATCGACTTATCCTCAAGAACAAAAATTTTCTTATGCTAAAATTGTTTAGTTTGATTTCTATCTGTTTTAATTCTGACCTTTATTCGAAAAGTGTTTTCTTCACAAAATTGCCCGAAGCCTATGCTTTTATGAATCCAATCGTAGATGTTATGCCAGTAATCCCTTTGTTCTTTTTTCTATTAGCTTTTGTTTGGCAAGCTGCTGTTAGTTTTAGATAAGATCTTGATCTTATATATGTAATTTATTCGATATCTTATATATGTAATTTATTCGATAGAAAATAAATTCTAGCAATTATTAACATAAGATTAATAAGGCTGCTGTTAGTTTTAGATAAGATCGATATCTTATATATGTAATTTATTCGATATCTTATATATGTAATTTATTCGATATCTTATATATGTAATTTATTCGATATCTTATATATGTAATTTATTCGATAGAAAATAAATTCTAGCAATTATTAACATAAGATTAATAAGGCTGCTGTTAGTTTTAGATAAGATCGATATCTTATATATGTAATTTATTCGATATCTTATATATGTAATTTATTCGATATCTTATATATGTAATTTATTCGATATCTTATATATGTAATTTATTCGATAGAAAATAAATTCTAGCAATTATTAACATAAGATTAATAAGGCTGCTGTTAGTTTTAGATAAGATCGATATCTTATATATGTAATTTATTCGATATCTTATATATGTAATTTATTCGATATCTTATATATGTAATTTATTCGATATCTTATATATGTAATTTATTCGATAGAAAATAAATTCTAGCAATTATTAACATAAGATTAATAAGGCTGCTGTTAGTTTTAGATAAGATCGATATCTTATATATGTAATTTATTCGATATCTTATATATGTAATTTATTCGATATCTTATATATGTAATTTATTCGATATCTTATATATGTAATTTATTCGATAGAAAATAAATTCTAGCAATTATTAACATAAGATTAATAAGGCTGCTGTTAGTTTTAGATAAGATCGATATCTTATATATGTAATTTATTCGATATCTTATATATGTAATTTATTCGATATCTTATATATGTAATTTATTCGATATCTTATATATGTAATTTATTCGATAGAAAATAAATTCTAGCAATTATTAACATAAGATTAATAAGGCTGCTGTTAGTTTTAGATAAGATCTTGATCTTATATATGTAATTTATTCGATATCTTATATATGTAATTTATTCGATATCTTATATATGTAATTTATTCGATAGAAAATAAATTCTAGCAATTATTAACATAAGATTAATAAGGCTGCTGTTAGTTTTAGATAAGATCTTGATCTTATATATGTAATTTATTCGATATCTTATATATGTAATTTATTCGATATCTTATATATGTAATTTATTCGATATCTTATATATGTAATTTATTCGATATCTTATATATGTAATTTATTCGATATCTTATATATGTAATTTATTCGATAGAAAATAAATTCTAGCAATTATTAACATAAGATTAATAAGGCTGCTGTTAGTTTTAGATAAGATCTTGATCTTATATATGTAATTTATTCGATATCTTATATATGTAATTTATTCGATATCTTATATATGTAATTTATTCGATATCTTATATATGTAATTTATTCGATAGAAAATAAATTCTAGCAATTATTAACATAAGATTAATAAGGCTGCTGTTAGTTTTAGATAAGATCTTGATCTTATATATGTAATTTATTCGATATCTTATATATGTAATTTATTCGATATCTTATATATGTAATTTATTCGATAGAAAATAAATTCTAGCAATTATTAACATAAGATTAATAAGGCTGCTGTTAGTTTTAGATAAGATCTTGATCTTATATATGTAATTTATTCGATAGAAAATAAATTCTAGCAATTATTAACATAAGATTAATAAGGCTGCTGTTAGTTTTAGATAAGATCTTGATCTTATCTATGTAATTTATTCGATATCTTATATATGTAATTTATTCGATATCTTATATATGTAATTTATTCGATAGAAAATAAATTCTAGCAATTATTAACATAAGATTAATAAGGTTCATTTATCATTTATATACAATAATTGGATCGTATATATACAATAATTGGATCGTAGCGGGTATAGTTTAGTGGTATTAGAATTAGATTCTAGTTTATTAGAATTAGATTAGAGTCGCAATACGCAATAAAAAATCATCAGTATGAAAGCCAATTTTTTGTAATAAAAGATTCTACTCTGATCAAAAAAAAGAATATAAAAATAACACTTAATTTTTAAAAAGCCGTTTCTCTTTCGAGAAAGCACTTTCTTTTTTTAATTTCAAAATCTTTTTGTGATAGTTTGTGATAGATAAAAAAAAATAGAAAATCTATTTTCTTTCTTTTTTTTTTCAACAAAAAAAAAGATCTCGGAGATTGTGTAATGCTTACTCTCAAACTCTGTGTCTACACAGTAGTAATATTCTTTGTTTCACTATTCATCTTCGGATTTTTATCTAATGATCCAGGACGTAATCCTGGACGTGAAGAATAAAAAGAAGGTTTTTCGGGCTTGCTTTATTTTTGAATGTTCTTGGCATTTTATCTTTTCTACATCTTGAATTATTAAATGAAATAACAAAAAAAAATGGCAATGAAATAAAGTAAAAAAAAAAAAAACAAAGTAAAAATAAATTCATAAAAATAAATTAAATTAAAAAATTATTTTGAAAGATAAGAAAAGTACCAAGCAATCAATGCAAGCGGAAAGAGAGGGATTCGAACCCTCGGTACAAATAAATCGTACAACGGATTAGCAATCCGACGCTTTAGTCCACTCAGCCATCTCTCCACTCCAAATTGAAAAAAAAAGACTTACTATCTTTATCCTATATTAGTATCAATATCCTATATTGAAATTGAAGAACAAGGAATACTTGAAAAGGAAGAGTGCTTTTCTCCTCTTTTTAGTTCTCTTGATTATTTTTATTTTATTTTGGAATTACTTTGATTTTCAATTTTTATTTAATTATGCATATCAATTTTTAGTTAATTGGATTCCTATTACTTTAGATAGATTAATCGGATATATTCCTATTTCTTTATTTATATTAATCGGACTTTTGCTTTTAATCAATTTTTTTGATTGAGTTATCTAAAAATATAAACTAAAAAATACTGCTTCGGCTCAATTTCGAAAACAAAATCAAATAGAGATTTCTTTTGTATGAATGAAAAATACAAAAGAAATCTCTATTTGATTCAAAACTAAAAAAAGTTTATATTGTTGATATTGAAACAAGAGCAATCCTAATCCTAATTAGAACTATTTCGACTTCTCAGATAGAGGATAAAATAATATCCAAATCATACAGAATTCGTAATTCTTCTTTTTTTTTTCACAATCTCGAAAGGGTTCCCTGAAAAAAAGAATATATCTATCATTTTTCTGATTTTTTTAGGATCCTATGCCCTATACTATTACTTACTCGACAAAAGGTTCATTTATATACAATAATTGGATCGTAGCGGGTATAGTTTAGTGGTAAAAGTGTGACTCGTTCTATGAATCCTACTTAATAGTTAAGGGATCCTTCGGCTCAGATTCTGACTAAAAACTTTATTTCTTAAAAGGATTAAATCTTTTTCCCTATCAATGAAGCACTCAAGGAAAAATAGGCATTCTCATAATTTGTCTCTAAAAAGCGATTAGAGAAATTGAAAAAATTGGATTTTTAAATTATGAAACAGAATTTTTGAAATTGGATCAAGCCTTCCAATGAAATAAGTATGAATAAAAGATCTATGGAGATAGAATGACAGACAAGTCTATTTCGAATCGTAACTAAATCTTCCTTTTTTTCTTGAAGCCAAATTTAATTAAGCATTAAACGATGACTTTGGTTTATTATAGACATCGATATCTTGTTTTAGCCCGGTGGAACCCAAATTCTTTTCCTAAGGATTTTTTCAAATAGAAATAGAGGACGAAGTAACTAAAAAGATTATTCTTTTCAAAAGCATCCCCCCATCTAATCTAGAAGGATTATCTATAAAGCGCATTATTTTGAATGCATTAAATTTAAACCTTTAAACCAAGGGGCTGACATAGATATTATGGGTATGGTTGGACTTTTTTTGTGTACATCTTACGTCGTATTCTGAGATTTTCCTTGGAAATTTTTCCGTATTCCATAAAGGAGCCGAATGAAACCAAAGTTTCATGTTCGGTTTTGAATTAGAGACGTTCTCGATAATGAATCAACGTCGACTATAACCCCTAGCCTTCCAAGCTAACGATGCGGGTTCGATTCCCGCTACCCGCTCGCTCTCTAGACTCATACTCGCTACGCATTCTAGATAGTTAAAATAGAGAAAGAACCTTTCGAGATGGATTATTCTATCCAGATATAATCTGGATAGAATAAGAAATCGAATCTAAGCTTTTTTTAGTCTTTCTTTCTTTTATGAAATTAAAGTTCAATGATGATTAATATATCATTGATTGCAAAAAGCATCTCACTTTTTTTTGATGAATTTTCTGAAGAGGGAGGCGATGTTAAAGACAAAGAAAAAAGAACAAAAAATGGAAATGAAAAAAAAAAAAAGCGTCCATTGTCTAATGGATAGGACAGAGGTCTTCTAAACCTTTGGTATAGGTTCAAATCCTATTGGACGCGGGATTTTTACATATCTATTCCTTTTTACTTTCTATATATTCTATATTTTTTCAATTTAGTATCTATATAGATTCTTTCTAATTGTCTATCTAATTGTCTAATTGACTTTTCTTTTTCTTTGTATAATGTTCTATTTTTATTAATTGAAATTAATTGAAATTTGGATTTGATTTCGGTATTTTTGTAGAAATAGCCTAACGAAAGAGTCAGAGCAATCAATTTCATTCTACTTTACTTAAAGTATAAAACGTTCCATCTCTTCCCGAATCGCTTCTTTCAAAAGGGCTTCCGCTTCTTCGGTAAATGTTTTCGTAGAAGAGATGATTTCTTTGAACTGGGGTTTATTAATTTTGAAGTGCTCCCGTAACCGTTTAAGAAACGTGCTTACTTGTCCAATTTCGATTGAATCAAGATAACCATTCGTTCCGGTATAAATGGTCATTATTTGTTCCTCTACCGTGAGAGGATTCGCTTGGGATTGTTTGAGCAACTCGCGTAATCGTCGACCTCTTTCCAATTTTTGCTGACTACCTTTATCGAGAGCAGAAGCGAATTGTGCAAAGGCTTCTAATTCTAGAAATTGGGCCAAGTCTAATTTTAATTTACCAGCTACTTGTTTCATCGCTTTAATTTGAGCTGCGGATCCTACTCTGGAAACCGAAAGACCCACATTAATAGCAGGCCTGATTCCAGCATTGAATAAATCCGCGGATAAAAAGATTTGGCCATCAGTAATGGAAATTACATTAGTAGGAATATAGGCGGAAACGTCCCCCGCTTGGGTCTCAACTATTGGTAAAGCGGTCATACTTCCTTCACCTAAATGAGAACTTAATTTAGCGGCTCTTTCCAAAAGGCGCGAATGCAAATAAAAAACATCTCCTGGATAAGCTTCACGGCCGGGTGGTCTTCGTAATAAAAGAGACATTTCGCGATAAGCCTGCGCCTGTTTGGAGAGATCATCATAAATGATTAAAGTATGTCGTTTAAGGTACATAAAATATTCGGCCAGAGCCGCGCCTGTATAAGGAGCAAGGTATTGTAATGTAGCTGGAGAAGCCGCCATTTCGGCTACAATAGTAGTATATTTCATTGCCCCCTTTTCCTGTAAAGTCGTTACTACCTGAGCCACAGAAGATGCTTTTTGACCAATAGCTACATAAACACATATTACATTCTGTCCTTGTTGATTCAGAATCGTATCAGTAGCTACTGCCGTTTTACCGGTCTGTCTGTCCCCAATAATTAATTCTCGCTGACCCCGCCCTATGGGGATCATCGAATCAATAGCAATAAGTCCTGTTTGCAGAGGCTCATATACGGATCGCCTCGAAATAATACCTGGAGCAGGGGATTCAATTAACCGAGATTGCGAAGATGAAATTTCGCCGCGACCATCAATAGGTTTACCCAGAGCATTGATAACACGACCCAAAAAAGCCTCACTAACAGGTATCTGAGCAAGTCTTCCTGTTGCTTTTACAGAACTTGTCTCTTGTATCATCAAACCGCCGCCCATTAAAACAACACCAACATTATTTGGTTCCAAATTAAGAGCAATGCCTATTGTACCCTCTTCAAATTCGACTAATTCACCTGCCATTACGTCCTTCATACCAGAAATACGCGCAATGCCATCGCCCACTTGAAAAACGGTACCGATATTTTCAATCTTGACTTCCTTTTTATATTTTTTAATACGTTCACGAATACGATTGCTAATCTCGTCTGCTCGAATGGTTACCATGAGTATTTATTCCTTTATTGAAAAAAAAAATAATGCCTATAACAGAAGGACTAATCAGTGATTTCTTTTATCGTCCGCAACATGTCAATATTAGCACTGATGATACGTAAATGTAATTCGTTGGTTAAACGACTATTCAGAGTCTCTAGAGCTCGTTCTAAGGCTTGTTGAAAAAATCGTTGGCGGACTTGATTAAGTGTTTTTTCTTGTTCAAAACGAATTCTTTCATTTTGTGAATTTTCTTTTTGTTCTATATTCTGATAAGTTGAATTCATTAAAGCCAATATTTTTCGTTCTGTATCAGAGGATTCGTTCACTCGATACTGATCTGCTTCTATTTCGATTTTCCGTAAACGGGCGCGGGCTTTTTCTAGCTGTTCAATGGCACCCCCGCGGAGTTCTTCTGAATTTCGAATAGTATTCAAAATCCGTTGTTTTCGATTATCTAATAAATCACTTAATGAAAGTAGATTATCCATTCCTTTCAAAATTTTCATAATCCCTTCCCGAACCAAACATGAATCTTTCGATTCATTTGGCTCTCACGCTCAATGATTTCAATTCCTTAAGTCCGGCAAATTGAAATCTCTTTTTTCGACTACCGCGAGCCTATCCTCTATTTCTATATTTGGAATTTGGAATTCCTATGCCTATTGAAACAAATCCAAGACCGGAATATTCAGAGGACTCTTCGAACCCAACAAGTAATTGTCAGTAAAGTTGTTTCTTTTTTTCTTCAAATCCAAAGAATTTACTTTATCATAGGTTATCACAATTCAGCATTGGATAACAATGGGCAAAAGACCCATTTTTTTTTAGTTAAGAAAAAAAAAAAAAATGAAAAAAAAGGTGTTGAAATCATTTTTTCAACATGAGTGTTCTATGTCGAAAACATTTTAAAATATTCATTTTTTTTTTACCAAATTTTTGATTAACATTGTAGTAGAAAGAAGACTTTGCTGTGTCTGGACTTCAAATAGGTTCGCTTTAACCATGTTACTAGTCCCATCCCAATTTTTGGTTGATAGAGAGAGAATCAAAGTCTATTTACCAATGAATCGTGCGAAATGCTATGGTTCTTAAAGATGAGTTTTGAATTTATTCATAAGTCATTCGCAGGATCATGCACCGCTTCTGTCTTAGTGAAAACAAAAAAAAGTGCAGCTGGCTCAATTCAGCGGATTCTTGAAATAAACAACTCGCACACACTCCCTTTCCAAAAAGAATTAATACACCAAGAACTACGATTAGATTTATTGGATTTGTTGCTAAAATATCGGTATTGAATCCGAAACTCCCGGCGGATGGCCAGTGATCCAAGGGAACGAAAGAATCGGTTACATTTTTCATAAGATCTCCTCTTCTCTTATAGATATAGACAGACTCATTATCTATTTTTGATTCTTAATTAATTGTAGTTTTTATTTTCTATATTCGAGTTCTAATATTTCTTATTTATTTCATTATTCTATTATTATTTAGTATTTTAGTATTTCGATTAGTTTTTATTCATTCATTTACCTATTTTTTTTGTAAATAGACTCAAAAAACGGCGATTTAGAAAGAAATCTATTTTTTTTCCAATTGAAATTTTAGATTTCTAAATATCTAATACGAATAATATTTATTCGAATTAGATATCAGGTCTTGTCTGAATCAAGAAATACTTTCTTTTTTCCTTTGTTGCAACACGGCCTCAAAAACTTTTGTTGATTTAATTGGGGAGAGACTTTTGTTGATTTAATTGGGGAGAGAGGGGAGGGGAGGAGGAAGAAAGCGAGTTCGATATACAAATTCCTTATCCTCAAATAAGTCCTTCCCATGGGTTAGTGTACCAAGTGTACCAATAAATAAGTACTTGTAAATGTTAAATCTTGATAGAATTCAAAAAAAGCAAGCAGCAAGTCCCAAGTCCAAAAATACAATTTTTTTGTTAGGATTAGACAAAAGGATTTGCAAATAAAAGGGCTAATGCGACAACCAGCCCATAAATTGTTAAAGCTTCCATAAAAGCCAAACTAAGCAATAAAGTACCCCTAATTTTTCCCTCCGCATCCGGCTGTCTCGCAATACCCTCCACAGCTTGCCCCGCAGCAGTACCTTGACCAATTCCAGGTCCAATAGAAGCAAGCCCAACGGCCAACCCAGCAGCAATAACGGAAGCGGCAGCAATCAATGGATTCATGATAAATTCCTCCAAAAAAATAAAGAAATCAAAATGGTTAATGATACAATGGTTAATGATACAATCAACCAATAAATAGAAATTATGACTTAGTTAGTCCATCGATAATATGAATATTCTCATTCAATCAAAGTAACTAAGAGGAACTCAGAACTGGTAATTGAAATAGAATACTATTGAATGATCAGAACTAGACTCTATTGGATGATCAGAACTAGAATCTATTGGATTGAAATTCCTATCTAAATTACCAATAGTAGGACGTGTTATATTAGAGATAGAGATAGCTGGAGCTCATACCTAATTAGTTAATGCTTACTATTCCATATACGTGTCTTTCTTGCATAACGTAAACCAACTATTCGATTCGTATCTTCAATTCAATTTGAAAATTGTAAACGCTTCACTTCCTTTTCTTTATGATTATCCTACATACATTCTCATTATCCTAAAGAATTACATGGATACAATCACTCTAAAGGGAAAAATTCATTAGTACGAATCATTCCATAGATATTGAGCTCTTTTTGATTTGGTTGGTTGATCAAAGTTAATGTGATTTATTTTTTTTTACTTCCCCATTATCCTAATATTTTTTTACTCTTCTGTTAGATCACTAGATCATATAAATAAGCCTTTTTGTCTATTTCTGTGTTCACAAACAAAGTCAATTATCTTGAGCAAGGCTATTGTCTTGCACTACGCTAGAAACAAAATTGATAAACGGAGTCAATCAATGATGCCCTTCCATGGATTCGCCTATATAAGCAGCAGCTAAAGTTGAAAAAATAAGAGCTTGAATACCACTTGTAAATAATCCAAGGAACATGACCGGTATAGGAACTACTGAAGGTACTAAAGAAACCAGAACAACAACTACTAATTCATCCGCTAATATATTTCCGAAAAGTCGAAAGCTAAGTGATAAGGGTTTTGTAAAATCTTCTAAAATGTTAATGGGTAAAAGAATTGGCGTTGGTTGAATATATTTACCAAAATAACTTAATCCTTTTTTGCTAAGTCCCGCATAAAAATATGCTATTGACGTAAGTAAAGCTAAAGCAACGGTCGTATTTATATCATTCGTAGGTGCAGCTAACTCCCCCTGAGGTAACTCTATGATTTTCCAAGGTAAAAGCGCCCCTGACCAATTCGAAACAAAAATAAATAGAAAGAGAGTTCCAATAAAAGGAACCCATGGACTATATTCTTCTCCAATCTGAGTTTTGCTCACGTCTCGAATGAATTCAAGGACGTATTCAAAGAAATTCTGACCGTCGGTCGGAATGGTTTGTGGATTCCGAACAGTTACAATGGCCGAGCCTACTAAAATAGCAATTACAACCCAAGAAGTTATAAGTACTTGGGCATGGACTTGGAAACCACCTATTTTCCAATAGAAATGCTGGCCGACTTCCACACCGGATAGATCATATACTCCTTTTAATGTGCTGATGGAACATGATATAACATTCATATTGCCTTCTGAAAGAAAACTTTTCAATAAATTATTTTGATTCACCCTTCTTTCTTTTTTTGATCTTGCCCACTTGAATTGTATTTTTTTTTGGCCACGAGCGAATTCAGTACTATCTATTTATTCCCCGTTCGTTATTTTGATTTCTTTTGCGCAATTCAGGAATAATAACTGATTCCATAACTCTCTTGGATTCACAAAACAATTTTGGATCTTCTATTTTTTATCTTATTATTAATCAGGGCTCTGGTCTATAGCTAGAACGACCTTCACAAATTGCAAATACTAATTTGTTAAGAATGAATCGGATTGAAGGTATACTATCATCATTTGCAGGAATCGGCATATCTGCGAGATCCGGGTCACAATTTGTATCAATTAAGGAAATCGTTGGAATTCCCAAAGTGATACATTCTCGAAGAGCTATATATTCTTTTTGCTGATCAATGATTATTACAATATCGGGCAGTCGCACCATATATTTTAGCCCGCCCAGATATCTTTCCAAGCGAGATAACTGTCTCTTCAATCGAGCCGGATTCCCTTTTTTAATACGGTCGAATCCACCTGTCTTTTGTTCCCTTCTCAAGTCTCTGAACTGGCGAAGTCTCATTTCTGTATGGGACCAATTTGTTAAAATTCCGCCGTTCCATTTTTTATGAACATAATGACATCGAGCTTTTTTTGCAGCTCGTACTACCGAATCCGCGACTTGTTTTTTTGTCCCAACAATTAAGAATTCTTTTCTTCTACTTGCTGCATCAAAAACTAAATCACAAGCTTCTGATAAAAAACGAGCAGTCCTAGTAAGATTTGTAATATGAATACCTTTACATGTTGCAGAGATATAAGGTGCCATTCGCGGATTCCATTTTTTAATACCATGACCAAAATGAACTGATGCTTGCAGCATCTCTTCCAAATTAATGTTCCAATATCTTTTTCTTATCATTTTTCCCCACACTCCCTCTCTCTTCTTTCAACGCAAAAAAGAGCGATGAGACACGCTGAAATAAATAATTGTTCCGACGGAACCTTGCTCTTTTCCCGGAGATTGGCCGTTGGTACACGATCCAACCGATGCATTTCTTTCTATTCCTTACTCTTATTCTCTTTCTTCGTTTTTTTTCTTGATATGAAGTGAATTGCTTTCTGACTCCTAATATAAGAAAAACAAATCACAGGATCACCACATCAATAGGTAAACTAACCGGATGAATCTCTTCTCAAGAATCAATGCAGGAATCATGAAATCCTCTCAATTCCATGATTGTTCTGTTGTATTGTATCCTAGCAATTTTTTGAAAGACAAGAATCTACTAACTCCTTGTGGTGGAACAAAAGATCTCTCATTTCCCCCTCGAATAAATTCTTCCTTTTGGTTTTCAAAGGAATGCTTTTATATTGCCGTGCGCGGTCTACTAATCTTTTGAATGCAGTACCCAGAGGGATCATACTCATACTACCTAGAACAACATTTTCTTTCAGGCCTTTTAACCAATCAATACGACCACGGAGAGCAGCTTTTGCTAAAACGCGAGCAGCCTCTTGAAAGCTGGCCTCGGATATGAAACTTTGAGTATTCAGAGATGTT